GTACAAAACATGACCTTCCTTTAAGCTCTAAAGAGTATCAACCTCAGAAAATCTGAAAAAACTTGGCACCCCCATAAATTTACATGAGAACTGAAGCTAGTTTAAAAACCTTACTCACCCTCCCCCGCTTCCCCTCACAACACCTTAATAAAACAAACTGCCCCCACTGCCTGCCTGTCCAATACAAATTAAGGCTTCCTTTTCTTTACGAACTGTACTTATCTCGCTGCTCAAAATACTCAATGTATAAGTAATGTGCTTGTTTACTTCGTCTAGGGCTACGTCGTTCGGCAAATCTTTCTTTGAACTGCGAGAGAAAGACATCTAAGACGCTTTCACATCGTTTTGCGAGTCACTTTTCTTCGAAATGCGGGAGGGAAACATTTCAACTTTCTCCAACAAGACGTCGACGAGTACGAAATGCAAAGAGTTCCAGGATTTAACAAAACCTTCTATGTCTTCATATTTCTCGGAAATTGCACGAGGTTTTGATTAATTCTCGGTATTTCGATTTCTCAGAAACAACTGGTGACTCACCATTGAAAGGAAGCGAGGGAAGGTCCACGCAAACCCGACACTAATCGTGTCAAGTGACGTCACTCTAAGCTATGCAGAATTATATAACTTGATGATACATTTTGCGAAGTGGAACGTGTTAGCGTGAAAGTTTATCGAGACAAACAACAACATTGAAGTGAATTCATTTTCCATTTTTCGGGTAAATTTGCAATTCAGCGTCCGAGTTCAAATAAATACTTTAGTTTGCTCCAAGAATATAGGAAAAGATTACGAGCGGACGATGTTCGATTAGCATTGCGCTTACCAAACTAGATTTCATAGCATCGCAGCACTGTTCGCAAAGAGACCGAAAGTTGAAGGTGGATGATCCTCTGGCCCAAGTTCATTCAAGTGCACCTGGTCTTCTATGAGAGCTTTAACGGGCAGCACAAATAATATAGTCACTGGTTTCATTTAGAGAAGAAAGCCGATGAATTACTGGCGCCGCTTGATATATTAAAGATTCTCCAAAGCCATTTGGA